CAGCAGAACCATACCGCACCAAATGTATTTGTTCTAGGACGAAGGTGAGCTTTAGTTCTCAAAAATTCTCTGCTGACCCTTTTCTTTTGAATGGGATAGGAAGGATCACTCTTGCCAACCTATAAGAAGAAAGAGATTTCGGGTGAAAACCTTGGAGTAGAATCACATTTTTATGTAATATGCAGAATAATACTCAAATGCCAATGGAAATCACATAAAACAAAAGGGAATCATATCACACCATACCAAGACCCAGGCTTCCCAATTGCTTGTCATCCAGAATATCATTGAGGATAGAACAGACATGACATTGATGATCCCAAGACCTCAGAGTTCATTTAACCCCTCACCGTTTATAGTTTTAAGCAAGTACAAATTTATATCAATTTATGTGTCACGTGGAAGGTGGAATGTGAGAAAGCTTGAAAACTTCTATTTGTTTTTGTGAACTCTTTTTTGTGCCCAGTTTCTCCCTGCCATATGTTAATTTGCCTCATCTAACACTCCAGTCAATATAAATTTTGCAAGTAACAGTTTTAAGGTCTGTAGTTTTTCAGTAATTCAGGGGTGGAGGGATATTTAGATTTGTAATCTGTACAAATTTCTGGTGCGATCACTTACAACTTGTTAGAAGCATGTTATCAAATTATGTATTGATGAGTTCATGTGAAAATTAGCTCCCTATCTACCAAGAATGCCTAGAATATCATACCAAAACAATTTTGTTGACCTTCAGTTCCACCTTTTGTTTTGATCCTTGGCTCTCCACCACAGTTCCTTGCACCAATATTGATGCACCAGTTGTTATCAACCCAGATTCTACCTATTAATAAACTCCAATGCTTGAATAAAGGTAAGATGACGAGAATATAGACCACATGAAAGATGAATACATCATGGTATAAACATATTATGAGAACTTTTGAATTTTTATGCAATAAATCAATGGAGCTTGACATTTTTGAAACAGATTTTCATCAAACAAAAGAAAGTGAGCAGAAGTACACTTGTTCCTAGTTGTTTACACCATGGAATATTTCTAAATAAAATCCCTCAGCTATTAATGTCGACCAACCTTGAGAAGAAAAAGAACAGGGAAAGTTAAGGAGGTGTTCACAAACAGAGTAACACTCCAACTTTCTAAAAAACTAGTTGGAAAAGAGAGAGTAGAATTTCATGTTTAAATACAATATTTCTCCATCTGAAGAACCAAAAAACTAATTTTTCAAATTTGTATTGAGTTTGTAAATCATATTTTTGAGGTTCTTCACAATTTTTCTTTACAAGTTTTTCATTGGTTTCCAAATTAAATAAAAAACCCCCCGATGAACAGAACAATGTTATTCTTTTATAAACAAGCACTTTTACCAATGCGAAAAATTAATTTTTTTATTATTTTATAATTGATTCATGTGATGAATTTATTTTCTTATTATAAATGTAATGTAAATATTTACTTTTTTTCTTGTTAATAAGTACAACTTTTTCATGATAATTTTTCATTTCAAAGAAATAAAATTATTATTTTATGATTAGATTGTCTTAAATACAAATATTAAGATGATCATAGGAAATTATGGTTTCAATATTTTTATGAAAAATAAGTAAAATCTTGACGTATTTCTTTTTTTTTTTTTCCTGTAGAAAATTTATTCTCTGTTCTCAAAAAATGAACATGCTTTCCAATTTTTCATTGAAAAGTAAAAATTAAAAAAAGAGAGAGAAGAAAACTGAATATAGACAAGGAAAATGGTTTTCTGTTATTGGACAACCCCTGAGATGTCAAGTCCAAAGCGATTATGTTCCACTGCAAATTAAAGAATTAGAAAATGTATATGCATGACTTTATTGTTTATGGTAATACCTGATCATAACCTTCAGCCTCCAATCCCATTACACATTGCATGTTTGATAGGCATGAACCATCATTAACCTGTATATGTTTAAGAACAGACATCCCCATCAACTTATCATAGTTCAATTTAAAACAACTTTATCAAAGAAATCATATGAGTAGCCACCATTATTACCTCAATAAACGTAACACTACTCTGAACACGAAGAGTACGAACCCAACCCATCACGACAATGGTCTTCCCTAC